CTTTTTGATAAATAATTCGTTCTTATTGCGAAATAGGAGCACTATTTATCAATCTGTAATAAAAGACGTGAGGAAATTCTGTCTTTTTTTAAAGATAAAAATTTTTGAGGCGAAATACCCAAAAAGAAGTTTGTAAAAAAATAAAAAATGTGTAGGTATGTAACTCCACAATTTTTTGTTCACTTTATTCAGTTTGATGTATCGAATGTTCGTCTCAGGTTGAAAACATACCAACGAAACACACACCCGTATTTCTACACTTCATTCGTATTTCCCATTGGTTTTGCTTTCAAATCAATTATAATTTCGCAATCGAAAAAGCTCCCACATCAATTCAAGGGGATCGCTGATGTGTTTTTGGTCTAGCATCAAGTGTAATTTCTAATTTTAAAACGCTATTTATTAGTGCCGCGTCCGCTCTGAAAAAAAGCCAGCGTTTTTATTTGTCACTTAATTCATCATTCGGAAAATGAACCGAAAATAGATGGGAAAATGTGGAAAAGTTGGATGGAAATTGTGAAAATGAATGAAAATTACGCCAAAAGCAAGTGCAAAAAGAAGAATGATAATCGGAAAGGTTGGAAAATATCCGATAACTTTGAGATGCTAGAGGACAATTTAGGGTCGAAATAGTTATTGAAATCAACAGGTCAAAGTAAAAAAAATCACTTTGACAATCATGAATGTGGTTTTAAAAACGACTTTAAAAAAATTAAAAGTCAGCAGGATTCTGGTAACTTTTTGCGACTAAAATTTAACACATGCTGGATTCAAGGAAAATCCAGCTTTGAAACTGGAGTATTAAGACATATTAGAACACATTAAGAACGTAAAATGTGTGTCTTTTGTTGATTTTTGGGCCTTAAGAGTTAGTTAACATCCTTACATCGTCAATGTTTCAAATGATCAGCGTTGCAAGTGTTTACGGAACACAAGAGGAGCTGCGGATTTTGAGTATTGGACAAATTATGGAAGACCGAATATTTAGCAAGATGATCAACTGAACGAATCGAGTTGTCGTACTCGCAAAAATGAACAAAGAAAATATGCGTTTATTGGTATTAAAGAAAGATGTAATTTCAGACGTTTTCGATTTAGACGAGTCTTGGAGACCGAAGGAAGAGGAAAGAAACAACCAAAGAGAAATTTACCTAAAACAAATAGAAACGTAAAATACTGGCAGTCTTGAAAAAGAGTTTCTTACTGCCCTTTTGCTATCATGAATTACTTGCATATTCAGAGCTGTGTTCGTTTGACAGCTTACAGTGAAAAATTACTTTACGCGACGGTCTAAATGCACGAACAACTCACAAGTTTGAATGCAAAATAATGATTTCATTAAAGACATAAAACATACAACTATAAAAGAAGTTCCTCTTTAAATGTAGTAGTAAGTCGAAGTAGACAGCATGTGGTGACCAGCAGATTCTCCAGATTTGTCTGCCCTGGATTATTTTCTTTGGCAGGCTTGAACGATGTGTTTCAGCATTTAGAATTAGCTGATATTAGTTGCTTTCTCAGTAATTAAATTCTTGAGAGAAAGCAGTTTTTGCAAAAAAATCGTGATCAAGTTTTACATAAAAAGGTCTGTTTGGCGATGTTGCCTGAGTAGTGACTTTCATTTGGCATTTTACAAAATTGAGAAACCCAGTGCGTAATTGGCCACTAATTAATGATTTTTAAATAATTTTATCAATTTGTGCCTGGCAAGTAGACTCTACTAGTAAACTTTGCCTTTAAACTAAAGCGCGGAACGGATGATTAGTGCTATGAACACATGTTTGCTCTCCCTCTACGCCATATGCTACGTTTTTTCGCAATCAAGAATAGAATTGCTAATCATGTTTGAATGTAATTTCGGACGTAAATTCAAGATCGTCTCGACTAGTTGAACTGTTAGCAGCGGATCTAAGACTATCTAGGACTGAGATAGGGACTCAATGAAGATTTCAATTGAGCCATTTAATTTTTTTTTCTAGACTGTGGCAAAAGATAGCATCTGGACTGGCCTCACCTATTCTTCGAGTGACTATATGAATAATGCCACTTAAATTGACCCACCCCATAACTACAAACATAATCCTGGCTAATTAAAGGCCCCAATATTGTTGCTAGTGGCGTGACCTTATTAGATCATAAACATGTTTATTTTTAGCCCGGAATTTTATACGAAATTATCGCTTGAACGTCGGGGTTTCGCCTAAAAAATGCACAATTAGAGCAATCAACACATTTTCAAATTATCACTATTCACAGGTCGAAAGAGTCCGTTCGTCGGCACTAGGCCTTGTCCGTCGTGACCGTAAAATTACGTTCAATTTGCGTCTAGCGGTATGTTCTTACTTTCGTTCGATGACTAACTAACCGATCCGATTTCTGATGCTCGAACCGCTTGATGCCGCTATTCGCGCATTCCGACTACGCGCGATGTCCAGAAAAAGATTTATACCGAGTGTTCGAGATTTTCTGTCACAGCAAATCGCCACTAACACGAAATTTTCCGACTTTTCTAACAGTTGCCCGCAAATCAAGCTCGCATTTACACGACAGAGTGAAACAAGACGCGCGCTTTGAGGAAGAGCGCAAACGTGAGGATGGAGGCTTACGCCCTTTGGCGTTTGCGCTTTGCAAGATTTTCGGTACCAAGTCGGAGCAAATTAGCTGCAATTTTTTTCAGTTGAACTTGAACAGYCGCGGAAGTGTAAAAAATTACAAATAACGCTTYMKRAAGCGTTATTTGTAATTTTTTACACTTCCGCGRCTGTTCAAGTTCAACTGAAAAAAATTGCAGCTAATTTGCTCCGACTTGGCACCGAAAATCTTAATCTGAACTCGACAATAACAATGCTTGCATCAATTTTTAATTAATGTAATAATCGGAAAAGAATTCAGGAAAATATCGGAAATCTTCCCTCTAAAAGCTGCTTTAAGCACACTAAATTAACGCAGTTGTTTTTAGCTCTTGAACAGCCCATCGATTCCGCCATGCTTGTTCAAAGCCTCGCGAGACTTTTTGGCTAAAAAAGTATGTAGTTTCTACAAAAGTTTTCGCGTAGGTATCGTTTTTGAGGTTCTAAATGCATTTTTTAATACCCTTGTGAAACTTGATTGATTTAAAGGCCTTGAAGAGCAAATTAGTCAACGCTCCTTCGCTCAACTGTTAAAACTTCTGGCTCTTATTTGATTATCAAAATTAATACAATCTGAGAACTTTTAGAGTTAGTCAAAGTTGAAGCGTGAAAGTTAAAGTCATTTGAAATGTTGACTTATCAGACAATTTTTCCAGTGTTCAGTCTGCAGAAACGTATAAAATTTATTGCACAACTTGAACTCAACTGCAGTTTAAAACTGTGCCACCAAATTTTGTTCAAGACAGTTTAACGCGATGTATAACTTTTTCAGTGTCGATTCCTGCCATTTCTTCTACAAACTGTCGAAGCTTTAAGCCTCTATTACATTCACTTCAAGCCGAAGTATATTCAAAAACATTACGAAAATGGAAAAAACATCCACAAAGTGCTTTATATGTAAGGGACCGCCAAAATATTGATATTTTAAAGTCATCTGAAACACTTGATTTCTCATTAACACAGACTGACTAAAAATTTTCGACAGTTTGCAGGTTTTTGATCGCTTATTAAGGACACTCCCTGTTCGACCAAACAAGTCATGGCTGATTTTCCAAAGCCCCACAACAGCGAACGTCTGCAGTAACGGGAATGAAGACCGAAAATAAAAATTTCATTCGTTTCCTTTCAATCAAGTGTAATTTTCATCGCTATTTCCTTCCACTTGCCCAGTCGATTGACTAATTCCATCCTCGTTTTCACTTAAAAATAGCATGTGATGTAACAGCACGGGGCCACATGACCTTTTAATGAAAATTATAATAACGTTAAGTAAAAGAATGTGACTGGAATTCCGTTATGAAGTGTGGTCACCTTAAAAGAATTTTGAATTCGTCGTTTAGCAGCAACAATTGGCGAGGCTTAAAGCAAAACGTGGGTTAGATTATCGACGGTTTTCCACAATAAAAAATGGGTTTACAAAGTTACAGAATTTTCACAGTTATCGAGCACCATTTTTTACTTAGCTTATCCACTCTCGCTATTGATCAAATAAAACTGGGACTCAGCGAAAGCATTTAAAGCTTTCCTCTAAATGAATAATGCAGGGTTCAAAATGTAGATCAGCTGATTTGTGATAAATTTCCAGCTCAAAAGTGCCTTCGGCACGCGAAGTTTTCATATGTTACTCAAGCGCAATGTTAACGCTTTTCACTGTTTAAATATTCTGTTCAATAGTGCACTCCCTGAAAACTGTTCCATATTGCACCTACTCATAGGAAAGGTTTAAAAGCTCCATTTATCCTGATAGATCAACTTGCGATAATGGAAAATATATTTATATAAAAAAACTCAGTTTCCCTTAAAAATCGAATTTGATACAAAGCCACCGATTTACGCGGGCTCAAAACAACACGCAAACTACTGCACTTCAAAGCTATCCTCACACTGGAATTTTCATTGTTCAGCTCGAAAATCGGGACAAAGAGGAGTTTCGGGAAAAGTGGCAAAGTCTGAATTCGTTCCGGTTCCGCACTTTCCTAACCACAGACAATACTGGGGCATCGATCGCAATGGAAAAGTGGAAATGGAGCTAACTTCGAGGCATTTCGTGGTGGGGGAACGCGCAGAGCTCAGCTGGTGCAATGGATAAGGAGTGTTGCACAAAAAAAGCAAATTTCATTAAGTACCTCACCCAGTTTCGAATTAAATTTGCTGGACTAAACTATCGGTTCTAATTGAGCTTCAATATAATGGGTATAACTTGTTTTTTAGGGGCGCTGGTAGCTGTTGATCTTAATCTGAAACGTTTAATCCCCAGCATTTATTAGAATGATTACTTAAAACCACGCAGCCATAATTAAGGAAATTTTATTTTTGATCGGGACACGGCAAAAGTAGCATGCCAAGAGGAAATTTGAAGCTATTAGGAGTGAGCTGAGTGAACCGTTAGAGCAGCGTTTCTTAAACTATGTTCCGCCGAACCAAAATTTTCGCGAAAATCATCGAACGGTTCCACCAAAAATTACGTCGTCTTTTTCATAACATTCTTTGTAACTTAATTCAAAAGAAATTCCTGGGTTCCAGTCAATTTTATTGTTTACCATTTAAAATGTTGCAAATACGTTTCGGTGTTTTTCTCCACCATCATCAGTTTGTATGTATGGCTGTTTCTCCTTCACATTTGGCAAACCATTCCGGAATGGTTTGCCAAATGTGAAGGAGAAACAGCCATACATACAAACTGATGATGGTGGAGAAAAACACCGAAACGTATTTGCAACATTTTAAATGGTAAACAATAAAATTGACTGGAAACCAGGAAGTTCTTTTGAATTAAGTTGAAATACAGTCAGGAAAATATACACAAAGATATTCTTTGTAACTTTCATAACAGTATTTCTGAGCTAAAGAACGAAGTGCACACTTTTTTTAGGGCATAATTTCGAATCCAAATTTGCTTCTTATTTGGAATAAATTTGTTGCTTAAAATAACCGATTTAAGACACAGTTTTACAAAAAATAATTAATTTACGTTTAACCCTTCAGGACAAACACGTAAACGAAATTACTACCCATTAAACGGTTCTCGCTTTTAATAGAAAGATAGAATTTTGGACGACTTGTGCGAGTTCTCACGACTCTGATTGCTTCCCAACAATAAAGAACTTTTTACAAGAAGAAAGCGTTAAAATGAAAGTTTTATTGAAATTACATCAGCTTCATCGCCGCACTGCTTTTTATTGCAGATAATTCATTTACAGACTGTTGCCCTGTTCATACCAGAACCATAATATTTAAAGAAGCAAAGAAGGAATTACTTATTTTTTATATATTGTGATTGCATAATATTTAAGTAAACCTTGGGTACCAGGGAAAATGTGGGAACAATAAGAGGGTTCCATTTATGAAAAAGCATAACAAAACACTGCTTTAGAATATTAACGAAAGCTGTATTTTTTCAACTTTATCAACATTTTTGGGAATAATTAAAATCCGGTTGCGCTATTGGTTTTTCTTATTGAATAAAGTCACATTTACATTGAGTTTGATCTGTGTGTGGTCGTTCGATAACGCTTAAATGTACAGAAGATTTTTAAATAGTTTCTGAACAGTTTTCAACATAGAAGAAGCTGAAAAAACTTGTGCAAATAAAGGATGAAAACACACAAAAATAATAAAATAGAAACGTTATACAAACAAAAATATATAGTTTTTATCTTCAGCAAGCAACAAAAAAAGTGTTAACATAATGGTTATTTTTCAAAGCAGGAGGCATCTGTTGGACCTAAAGAATCAGATTTTCGTCCCTTAAGTATTTAGACTTTTAGTCCTTCAGGCTATTTTCATTGTAAAGGCTATTCATCAATTTGAGAATTTTTGTCAAGATGAGAGAGGACTTCTCTCTCTGATGTTCAAATAAAAAGTGCATTGACAAAAATGTATCGATGTAGAAAAAGCCAATTGATTGACTACAAAATCAGTTTTTTTTACAATTTTTACCACCAAGAACAAGCCAGCTAAACAATAATGAGAAACATTACAAATGCGCTTAAAACACTGGGAGTTGGCTGAAAAGCGAAAGGCTGGGCCCGATAACCACCTTTCTGCACACAATGGAAGCCTAATGACATTAATTAGCAGGAACAATAAATGTTAATGAGACAAATAAGCGCGAGAAAGATCAGTTAAATAACAATTAACGTCAGCGAATAATAAACACACACAATGGTTTGAGCAAATAGAAGAAAATTGAGTTTTACGACGCTTCGCGTTCAAGTGAAAGTAAATTGTACAGTTCTGGAAATGATTGAAAACGATGAAAACATAAGAGGAAACGGACTTGGACTCACAAATAAGTACCACTTGGATGGATGCGTGAGGAATGACAAGAGAAACAAAGGAAAAAAAAGAGAAAAACTCAGCTTTACCAGAACGTACTAAAATATGTGATATTTAGGCAGATAAATTCCACAAAACGCTTCCTCGCTGCTCGTCCCGATTTTGCTCATTTCTCGGAAGCAAAATGAGCAAGAGTTCTTATTTTTACAATTTTCAATAATTTGACTGAAAACCGCGTGGCATTCGGTTGCTGCCGTTTCTCGAAAGGCCTGTTATTCTAAATATTCCTTAGCAGCATTTTTAAACGTGTTTACACATTGTATGGTTTCAGATTATGTTACATAACGAGAGGCAAAAAAGACGCTGACTTGCCTAGTTTCAGCAACAGATGTATGTGAACAAATTCCCAACATCCTTTCGTCTAATTTTTCGCCATTAGTTATTGTCCAGCATGTTTTTTACTATTCAACTGCGAGCCGAGTTAATGAGCGCGGAATTTTGAAATATAGTTTTCTTTGCAGTGAGGCCCAGAGAATTAGAAAAAGCTGAAAACATTACAAGAACAAGTTTTAGTGTGGCAAAGTCCAAGCCGACTCTTGCAGAAATTTCTGCCAATCATCTGTATCGCGTCATTAAAAGGATCGCCCGAGTGATATAAAGGAAATTAGCCTATATTTGCCGCTTTTGTTGGGGCAAATCGCCATTTCCCTGCAGTTTAACGTGAAAGGTCAGCTGAGCTTCCATTTTTATCGTTAAAATTGATCTATTGTGCCAGTAACGAGTTTGCTCAGGTCCATAAAAGCCGTTGAAAATCTAATAAAATGTCAGAAACCCACCAGGGTTTACCAACAAGCTTGAATTGTTAATGGTAGACATATTTTGTTTCCGTTCGGGTTTTATCTCAAAATATCAAACCGCTGGACGCTGCTAGGCTCGGTTAACTACCTTTTCCAGGAAAAGCAAATCTTCAGCTCCATCGAAACGTGAGATTGAAATTTACGACTCAATTTAAAGTCTCCGGGAAAGGGATTTTTCGATCTCTAGAAAATTGGGCATGTTCCTGCTTTACTGGGGCCCCAATCCCACTATTAATGAAAATCGGCGTTATTTGAGGAAATTAGTTTACCTGGTGAAAACTTCGTCCATTCGAAAATATCTTTCCTTCCCTGGCTTGCTCTTTGAGCAATCATCTCTTGACCCACTTTAACATCAACAAGTATTTTCCATGAATATCTAAGAGCTATTTCAGGCGCCTGAAGATTCTGTTTGCCCATGCATATCCAATGACAAGCCAAAGAAAACGAAAAAGAGCGCCATTAAAACGACGGAAACGCTCCTGAAGTCTGTTCGTTGAGACGAATCGCCTTTTACATTTTTTTCTCGTTAGCCTCAAGTCCGCTTCGTAATGGCATTCTATAAGGAGCATTATTTTGCAATTAAGAGTGGCAAAAAACCCTTGATAATGCCATGGTCGCAGCGACTTTTCACTATTTTTAAATCCTAACAGTATTTCAAATTAGTACCAATATTAAAGAGTGGAAATGTGCTCAGATGAATCAGCAAGAAGGCCAAAGGAGCCGAAGAATGAAAAATGTCACTTCTTGTACATTTAGCAAAAATGCTACCAGATTTTGGATCAATATAAGCATACAAGCTACGCACCCAACATGAGAACATGACAAGATTAATAGTGAATCTAAATAAATAAATTAGGAAAAAATACTTGTGAATACCCGAACATTTGTAGAAGCTGAGAAGTTTTCATTATCTCTTATAGTGATTGCTCGCTAATTACCCAAACAAACCCAAAACCCATATCCACACAAGCTAACAATTTTCCTAATCGTGTTTATCAACTTAAATTAGCGATGATTAAATCACTTGACCTACCAGTTTGAGCTAATGTGTGGGTCAACTGTTCGCATTCAATTAAATTACGATGTCCATCTGGATATTAGAGGAACATCATCCTATATTATCCAGAAGTATTTTTTAATAAGGTCAATGTCAATTACTCAAAGTAGGTGGGTCAATAATAACATTTTATAAGTAGGCGATTATTGAAAAATGTAACTTTAAGCTGCACGATTTTCCGTTAAGTTTATGCGTGTTTCAATTTCTTTTAATTGATGCGGGATCATTGAATGAATGAAAGTATGGAAAAGTAACAAATCATTTCCAAAACAGTTAATGCGTTATTAACCACTTGAAAACTGAAGCGTGAAATTGATATCTACTAAGCACGAAAATTGTATATACATAATCATTTTTTCATATCAATAAGTGTCAATTACAAACAAAGCATTGTTTAAAGGCTTTTTGTTAAATACGATATCAAATTAGCTACAAGTTGAATTGGAAAAAGTGGTTGATTTCGTCTGTTTCAAGAAATCAGTAAAAAACAATGCAGAAAACCGCACACAAATGACACAAATAGTTACATTTCCAGGTCAAAAATACACAAATAATAACGCATTCAAGAATGATCTAATTGAAACATTTAAGTGATGTCGCAAAAGTGGTTGATTTTACTGGCTATTCGAGCAAAAGTCAACAAAAAGAAGTGGAGTGTTTCTAAAGGGTGCGTCAGGATTAATTGGACAAAATTCCCAAATGTATTTTTTCCCTCCCTGTTATTAAAAGTTGTCCATAGCAGCAATCATTCAATTGTAAATATGCATTTAGCCGCAATAAAGAGATATTTTGCAGTGGCTTAATTAAGAAGAGAACATGCCAGAGACAAGTGAAACAAATAAAAACTTAGACTTAAGAAAGAAAACACAAGATAATAGGAATTGAAAAAGAGGATCAGTTTCATAGTAACTTCTTCGAGGATATTCGTGTATGATTAAATTAATTTATGAACAAATGTGTATTTTAATATGTTGCAACCGACCAACTTTATCTGATACCGATTCAGCACATGAGAAATAGTGTAAAAATCTCGCAGATTGATTTGATCCTTTGCAAAAGAATGGTGGGTATACGAAAACATTTTTTTCTGTAAAAGATTTGCGATGTAAGCAGGCTTGATTTATTAGAAAGTTTAATTGATATTTACAATCTAATGGAACACAGCAGTAAAATATTGGCGGTTTGCGTAATCTTGCAGTCTCATTGTTTTATGAGCTAGATAAGATGGAAAAAACGTTTTCCGATATGAATAAGTATCTTATCTATTCGGTCAAATTCCTTTCCTGGTAGATCAGGTTTGTTTCATTCGGGCGAAAACGTAAATGTAGAGTATGTATGAAAATGCATTATTTCCTTCAAATTGTTTGCTTCTTTTGCAAAATTCGATAGCGCATTGAGCCAGAATAAGTGCTATTTATTGACACTGGCACAAGATAGGTCGGTAAACATCTGTTTTAATGAAGAATCCATTAGTAAGCAGCCGTAAAAGTTCGTGAAAAGATAGCGGAATAGCAAACATTGAAAAGAAACCAAACACAACGCAGATAACTAATAGAATACAGGTTGATTTATTAGTAAAAAAATGAGCGTAGGTGCCCCGAACATTTCTCTCTAACAGTTTTAGTGAAGATTTGATATGTTAGATCGTTGCCCTCCATGAAAAGGCTCGTAAATTAACTCTCACCTTTCTGTTCTATTATAGACGATGTGGTTGGTGTCATTTTTTAAAACAGGCGAAGACATGACGAACTCGTGCTCACAAAATGGCGGATCATCCGGTAAGTCGACTTCCTGCGGTTTCGATTGTTGGAAAAATGTTACTCGTACTTTCTCTCGTTCGTCTCTGAAATTAAAAGTCTCTTTAGAATGCATTCTTTTTTCACATTTTTCATCTGTACGATAACGTCCAGCTTAGATGAAGAGTCCCACAACAATGAAGAATCTTCACAGATAACGAAGTTCACTTCAGCTATTTAATCAGATAGGTTTTAATAGTTAGTCGACGCTAATGATGAAGAGATTGTGATTGGAATGATATCTAGCATTCGCAGGAGCAGACGAGCCAATCACAGTGACACAGTCAAAACTTTGAGAATGGCTGTGGCAGATGTATGCGAAACGTCAGGTTGAAATATCAACCGATAAAACTATTGAAACAAATTAAAAAATGGTTGTCTTAGACTAACTGATAATTGGTCTAATTGTATTATTTTATCTCAAGTAAACACCATAATAAATGGATTGTAAAAAGTGCTGTAACTATTAAGCCATAATGTTTTACATGTGGGTTTTTCTTGTTTTCAGGTGTTCTTAGGCCCGGTTCCACCCTCTCCGATTAAAATGTTAATCATTGATTAAAACTATTTAATCAACACGGTGCGTTTCACCATAATTTTAACCACGATTATAGCCAGTGGTTAACTTAATCGCCTAAAATGGTTGGTTATTGACGATAATCACGATTAGTGTGGCATTATAACCTCAACCAATTTTGCAAACAACAAATTAAACGCATTATGGGTTTGTTTTATAACGATATTTTGTCATCCCCTGATGAGGAGATTGAGATTCAGATGGCTAGAAGACCCCGAATATTTAAACCGCGAGTCAATTATTTTGAAGTCATGGACAACTTGAGTTTTTTACGCGATTTTGATTATTACAGTAATTAATTGCCCTTTCGTATGTGTTGCTCTGAAAATAACGACACTTCTATGAAAATCTTGTTAATGTTTTCGATAATATTTTCATCTGTTGCTTTGCAACGTTCGATAATTAAGCACGATTAATGGAGAGTTCTGGTGTACAAAGCACTTAAAACTAGATTAGTGGCATCAAACAGTACAAACGTACCCAACGTTTTGATGGTCAAATGTTTGCAATTAATAAATATTGTAAAAAATCTTTAGCGCTAGTCGAAATTGAGAAGTCTATACTATACAAAAATATAGAAAGTAGGCCTGGGTAACACTGAGTTGAGTTGCGCTTTTGAGTTGATGCCGCTCTGTGATTTGTGAGTTATAACTCATCGCGCCTCGCTCGGCGCCCCCCAAATTGCGCTTGGAGCGCAATAATTCTTGAAATCAGACCTTTTAAAGGACATTTTTCAGTTAGCTGAAAATTCGTTGGTTTTTAGCATCGCTCGGAAATTGAATTGGTTCTTGGGAATCTGTTAACTTTCGGATAAGAGAAATTTGCCTAAAACTCAATATTGCTATACAAACGCCTCAAGCAGAAATACAATGGCGAAATGAAACACCTTCATACTTACAACATTTGTGTTTCCACACGGTACACACGAGCAAATTTTTTGCTTGTTGAATCGGGAATTTTTGCTAAGAAAACCGCTTGTGTTTTCTATACACACACGATAAATTTAATGAGTCGTAATTGTTGTTTGCGCTCTCGGTGCAAATATAATAAACGCACACAATTGCGATACTTTGCGAAAACGAGCGCGTTTCCGTAAACTGTCTATGGCGAGTTTTGTTTGATATTTCAATGGAAATCAACCATGTTAACCTGTCCCGTAAACATTTGTCGCTTGTTTAAACATAAATAGTTTTCAGTCAAATATTTCGCGGAATTTTCGGTCGAATTCACCAGTGCCGATGCAATTGAAACTAACGCTGAATATCACGATTTTTTAGAAAGTAGCATTATTCCTGTTCGCGCTGTTGTGTTCATGGCTTGTGAATCGACAGCACCCACAAACGACAACTTACTGAATTTACACATGATGCGAAAAATGTTTGCCGGTAGCCAGTCATGGCTAAAAAAAAATTATCCATGCGGAAAATGTAGGTTGGCTTTAGTGGCTTTTTCAATTAGATAATAGAGATGTTTCGAGTTTCGCAATTATTCGCTCAAGAGCTAGAGCCGACTTGTGAAAGTACCTGTTAAAATCCCGAGTAAAAGTGATAAAGGAAAGATTTTATTGGGAGAGCGAAAAATGCAATGTACCTGTGAACAGGTTCCACCCACGAGTATCGGACTATTTTTAGAGTTCCCCCGACTTTGGGTATCAACAGGCAATATTGAAAAGCGAAAGGCTTGTTGCCAACTCCAAAAATACTTATTTAATGGATTTATGTCTAAAGTTTCTAATAACATTTGGCCATTTGTTGCTTCCCCTAAGGCGGTAGTTGGGGATTAAGGCGCCAATGCTATCGATGTAGTGACATTTTTTGTGCACAGTCCAATTTTCCAAAAATTCGGACGTTTCTTTCTTAATAATAATAATCGTATCAGTATTTTTGCTTCCTTTCTTAGGGCCTTAAAAGATCAATTTAATTTTTCAAAACGAGTTAGTTGAAACGGTAAGAGATGTTCAATTGGAGACAGAGACAAAAATAATACGTTGTGAAATTATTTGTGGAATTGATTAAAAACCACCGTCGTAAGCGATGGCATTTCAAAATCACCATCTTTAATTTATTTTTAATAGCACAAACTGGTAAATTTTGTTTAACTTTCAGGTAGCCAAGTTCTTCGGGAATTTCACGGTATGAAAGCAGTTAAACAAATATTTATATTTCGGCCAGCTGCTATAAAAGCTCGTTTATTAGAAAGAGGGGCATACATGTATCTTTACGCTGTTGTAATCACACATGAAAGCGTTTTTTTTGGGTTTTTAAAACTTTGCATGTTGATTTTAATTGTCTTTAAGCTCTGGAATGTCGGAAATTTTCAAGCAGAGAAACACAGACAAGAAAGCAAATGTTTTTAAACTTTAACTTAAACTTAATGTCTGCCCGCCTAAAGTCTGTGTGTTCCTATTGGTTGGAGGTCTGTCAATTCGTCCGCCGTCGTACGAACTGACAGATCGCCAACCAATAGAAACACTTTCGTATCATCGTACCATCGTATAAACGGATGCATCGCAGGCTTAATGTTCACAAATTATTTGCTTTTTCTTTATCTAATAAGGATTAATTCACAAACAGAAATCGATCAGGTTTGATAAATGCCTTCTATTTGCATCGTTTTCGCCACTTTACCTTACTTAATCCCGCTAGTCGATCATTTTAGATATTCCGTCTTATCTTGCACATAAGTTTGGTTTGTATCATCTTATACTTGCTATTGTCTCCCAATTTCATTTGTAATTTGATATTGCGCTATTAATATTAGCAGATTACTGTGTGTGTAAGTGGAAGTTGTTCAAAGTGTACTGCAGAAATATAACGAAATAAAAAATCACTCAAATTTCCTCACTCATGCTCTCATGACTTAATCGAGTTTTCAATTCTCTATTCAACGATGCCAAAACGAATTATGTAGTTAAATGGTTCTTGAGAAACTTCGAAAAAAGCAGCGTAATGTTCAAGTGGATTTTGCAACTCAAAAAAAAACCACGCAATTCTAAAACTTCGTGAAATCAAGACTTTTTTGAGAAAACTGGCAACCAATAGAAACACTTTCGTACCATCATCGTACAAACGGATGCATGGGACACGGGCTTAATGTTTGCCCAATAAAATAACCAATATTTATGCTTTAAACAGGGAAATGATTTATAACCGAGCCATATAAACAATAACATCAGCTGTGCGTTGATCACATCTAGAAATATGTTGTTGTTCAGTTAAAAATTACTTGTTTATTGTTCCTGTAAGTCAAGGTCTCGCTGGCTAGATTCATCCGATTTCAAACTTTTCAGGCAAAATGGCGCAATATTTTAGCGAATTTTAGTCTTAATATTCTCTTATTAATAGTAACTTACATTTAAAGCTCTAACCTTGAAAGTGGCCCAGTCGCAAAAAGTTGTCCGATTTGCGATTATTTAACAATCTGAGTTTCAAGTGCCCAATTGTAAGGATCATGTTGGCCATTTACATAACAGTGTATCTGACAAGTGTATGATATTGAATCAAGAGTCGTCCTTCACGCAGCTATTTTATCTTAATTTTTTTAATTGACGTGGGCCGAGCAAACGCTTCATCCTCATTTCATTTATGAAATGCAATTAAATAAAATTAATTGCTTGCAAACTTGCTCTGCAGCTCTACTTGGAGAGATTTGTCTGTTATCTCTAATCAAATCGCCTTTGCATAATCGATAGCTAGCTCTGGACAGAAGGGCACTCAATGAGCACAAAACATCAGAAATACCAGACTTAATGTTAAATGTTGGGTTAAAATGGCATTTTTCATTAACAAAACCCAGCAGTGATCAACTTAAAACAATGAAACCCAGTGTATTGATTGGGCGATAATTCCCCTTTTCACTCACCCGTTTGGCGCCTTTTAGTCTGTCACCCCTTCACAAGAAAATGCAATGAAATTCTAATTAAATCCCAACTAAACTGTCTACAGCCCGAAACCGTAGCTGATTCCACACCGCACAGGTAAAGCGTCCAAGGACGAAAAAACTGGTCAACTAATCCCTATTAGGTTATAAACCCAATATAAAATAAATTCAAAACATGCCAAATCGAGTTATTTCTGCGACGATGCCACTACAGGGCATGGCAACCATGCTCCCTACACTCACGGAGCCACGCCTCCAAACAGGATTGTTTTCATAGTTTCCAAGGTGAACGACAGTGGCGCTAACTTGCAGCCAACGAAAACTACCCATCTGTTTTAGTGATTCGATTTTCGTGCGAGCAATATGCATCAGATGGCGCCAGCAGACCGGACTGTCGAACAGTCTTTAGGAGTAAATCATCGAAATTTGAATATCAGACAGTTAGGTGCAAGATTAGTGAAAAATTTCATGTTTTTCGTCCCGTTTTTGCTCATTTCTCGGAAGCAAAATGAGCAAGAACGCTCATTTGTACATCATTCTAGAGATAAATAAATGGCCTTTTTAGGAAGTGAACCATGGATGGGGAAATGTTGGCAGTTTTCTCAAAAATTGCTTGAATT